CCAACGCGTTACAGACCATTCTTTCCCAATGTAAGTCAATGGGAAAAAGTGTTTCCGAGACCAGCAACCAAACGGAAGTGTAGTACCGCCGTTTGGCCACAACGAATATTCTCATCAGACTCCGGCGCACTTCCTGGGTGCTTGGTTCGTACCACCTCTCTAGCAGGAACTGAAAATGGCCAAAAGAGTTCCCGTCACTGAGTAGTCCCGGCGGTGTGAACGCGACATTATTGGTACCAACGGAACTAAAGAACCAAAGTACCAGGGAAAGTCCTGCGGTGTGAATGCGGCTATAGTGTTGTCACAATTTTACAATAGACAACAAAGAAGTCCAATGAAGGCGTTTCATGTAGGGGGGGAGTGTGTGGGAGAGAAACTCCCCTAAGTTCAATTAAGGAGTTATCTGAATTTAAGGTTTGTAAAAAATATATTGCAAAGCTAATTTTTTTTTAATGTATTGCCACAAACCATAACAACATGGCACAACACAACATGAAGTTGGACAAAATTAGCTTGAAATAAGTGTTTTTGGTTCTTGTGTGTATCCAACTGGTGAACTAGTTATTTGAAATGTTTCGGGATCCCATTATCTCTGTTTTGTCTTTTAGTATTTAATTGAATATGCATTAAAAAAAAACAATTATGTATTTTTTGTGTGACCTGGTATTTTCGTCTCATCATACGCCATTTATGCCTTTTGTGTCTCTTCCCTGTCCTAAATAAAAAATAAAAACTTTTATTGTTTTAGGTTGTGTTGGTCTGTCTTTGAACTGAGGGGTTATTATTGTTGTATTTAATTATTTTTATTTGTGAAGCACTTTGTTTTGTGTGTCGGAAAAATAATGCAAAAAATCTCCATTTTTTATAAACTAACAACACAGACAGACACATCTTACTTCAAAATAGTTTCTGCGACAAGCAACACTTACATTACTAAACACTCTATTTTCCATCAAGCTACTAGATGTTTTCTAGCAGACAGACATTTCACCAAGAAACACTGTCAAATCAATCAATAAATAACAAGTACAAATAAGTAAAGGGTACAGAGAAAAAAGAAAACAAATCCTATACAGAAAGATGATCACAAAGACCCAACAGCAGCTTACAGACACAGCAGCTGACCTTTTAACATGTTCCTGCTTTTGTAATGTTATAAGACAGTGCCAAACACTTACAACCAACATGTTTCTGTTCTAAAGAAGCACCTATGACTAACTATGTACTTTTATAGGTACTTTGTATTGTTGATTAATACAGCATATGTCATACTTATTCATATTCTGATCTTCTTTTAGCAAATGCATTTAATGTTGTAGGCTTTCTAACTCTATGTTATCATCTGCTGCGGAGAATCGATTTGCTCAGTGAGTGAATATTGGAATACAAAAATTATTGATGGGCAATAAACTTGCGAGCACACAGTGCCAGCTATTCATTCTTTATTTGTAGTGTTGGAGCTTAGAACAAATAGCAAGCTGCATATCATTTTTAACATCACAAAAATCAAACATATTGACTACTGATACAGACATATCTATAATGTTTGATCCCAGGTTTCAATTAAAATAAAAGCAACTCTGTTTACAACAGAAACGTGAGAGTCAAATTTTGATTTATATTATTACTTTAACAGTCCCTTAAGCTTGATTTCACAGTTTAAATAAGTTTTGCTTGACTGTGGAATTTCTCTTTAATGAGCTAAATATGTGTGTATTTGCTACATTTAAGGTGAGTTCACAGACCAAAAAGCAGAAACATTTAACACCTTCTCTATAGAGGTCAATTTGTTACGTAAAAGACTTTCAGACATTTGTGGTGCTTTTAATTTGGGAAAAGTGCTTTTAATAGATTTCACAAGCCTAAATGAGTCTTTACCTAATCGAGGACAGAAACGTTACAAATGAATTTCGCTAAAATGGCACAACAGTGTGCAGGAATTCTCCTTTTCTCTTGCGCTACCCAAACACATCACTTTTCCATTCAACATTAGGAGTCTCAAGTGAAGCAGCAGTGAAGAAGAGTGGTTTGTAGATTCCTACTGTATGCAGCAGCTTTGTCCGTTGCCGTCTTTGGAGCGCAGACACAGTTTAGGTTTGTAGCTTTCCAGATACAGCAGCTGTTTGGAGTTGAACGCCCCGCGACGCTTCCTGACATCAAAAAGACATCAACTAGAGACATTAGATCTGAATGACAGCATGTGTGAGCAACTCCAGGGATGGTACATTTCAATTGAGGACAGTAGAATCAGTGTTTTGTACTCACAGTCTGATGAAGTGCACGGCGTCTTCATATTCCATCCCACACTCGATTAGAGCCAGGGCCACCAACACAGGAGCTCTGAGCACAGACACAAGAAACATAACAGATGCTTTAGCTTTTAAGATGTCAAATGTGTTCAATTCAGATAAGACAAAAGTCATGTTGTTTTCCAATAAGAAAAAGTTACCAACTGTTCTTCCCTGCATCATGTCTGCACAGCATAACCCCATTGAAGCTGTTAACACCTACAGATACTTAGGCATCACTATAGATGAAAATCTCTGCTTCAAACCACATATTGACAATCTCTTAAGGAAATTGAAATTAAAACTGGGATTATTTTTTAGAAATAAGGCCTGCTTCTCCACAAGTGCGAGGAAACGGCTTGTAGCTACCACATGGACTACGGGAATGTTGTGTACATGACCGCCTCAGCTCACTCCCTTCATCTGCTGGACGCTGTCTACCATGGGGCTCTGAGGTTCATAACCAACTGTAATCCCCTCACACACCATTGCACGCTGTACTCTTTAGTCAACTTGACATCACTATCAGATGCGCAGATCACTGCACTGGTACAAACTCATCTATACTGCTATGCTTGGACTGCTGCCCCTCTACATATCACACAAACAGTACAGCTATAGACTACGATCTCAAAATGACATCACTCTGTCCGTCCCCTCAGTACGCACGGTGCTTGGGAAAAAAGCCATATTATACTCTGCCCCCTCGACCTGCAACACGCTTCAGCAGGAACTTAAGCTGACCAGTTTGATACCCATCACAGATTTTAAACTCATTTAAAAA